TTTGCAAATAAATAAATAAATGTAAAAAAAAAAAACTAAAAGACTACCATATCTTCACTTAAACCCCACTTGTTTGGATTTCATAGTAATTCCAGCTCAGATAAACTAAATCAGCTTTTGTGGTCCATGTGGACAGGGCGGTAGGAGAACAGTGATAAGCAAATGAAAGAGCCAAGGGATGAGTGATGTTCTTTTGCAGAACTGTCTCCATGCTCTGCCGCAGCCTCTGATACAGAGGGTGCAGTGACAGGCGTCCCTTCTCTCGCCAGCAAAGGTGACAGCCTGTGGTCAGTCTTCATCAGGAAAAAAAAAAAAAAAAGGATTTTTTTTTTCTTTTTCCAGCAAGAACTCTCTAAGGTTGATCTCTGAGACATCTTGCTAGAAGTGTGTCGGCAGTGACTTGGTTTACTAACGCACACATGGCAATAATGAAATAGACGAATGCAAATGATAATGAGTAACAGTGCTGACTGTCTCTGTAGCACATTACCGTTTACCAAGAACTCCTAATGGATTCCATTTGTTCCTTACATGTGTCTGAGCGCCTCCTGTGTTCCAGGCCTCTGGAAATTTAGCTGTGGAAAAAGAAAATCCCTCTCTCATTTAGAGGGGCTGATGAGTTAACCTGGTAAATTAAGTAAGCCAGGAACTGCTCTTTGCAGATGGAGATGTTCTAAAGGTTCATTAAAACTTAGCTTTGGGGGCTGGAGAGATGTTTAAGAGTGTGTACTGCTCTGGCAGAGGACCCATGTACTATCTCAGCACCCATGACAACGGCCTGTGACTCCAGCTCCAGGGGATTTGATACTCTCTTCTGGCCTTTGAGGGCACTGAGCTCACATGCACAAGCCCACTCATGAACACATAATTTAAATTATTTAAAAATGGCTTTAAGTCATCAATTTTCCAGAACACCTCCCACCCCAGATAAAATGTTATCACTGGTAGTTTCTTTTCTTTCTCAAAGCTTGTTAATCCTAGCACATGTTGTGTGCTGCAATAATATCTTCGTAGATGGAGCGAGTTCCGTAGTGAAAGCTCACCTGCGTTTAGCCTCGTGGCCCTGTCCAAGAAAAGGGCCATCTCGTATTAGGAATTCATCTGTTACAGCTCTCCCACCTGAACTTGGCTGGCAAGCAGATCTGGCAAATTCTTTACTGCCAACAAAACAGCTGGGCTATCCGGAATGTATCTACTTTTTATAAAAATCTCCCTAACTAAGGAAGCTAACTACCTTCCTTTTATTTAAGCTGTATTTTAAAATCAGACTTTTTGCCATTTACAATTACTCACACAACTATTAGGAGTTTTGAAGTTTTCACTCCTTGTTCATCTAAGACTACTTATCCACAGAAGCTAGCTACTTGCAGCAGCTGCCCTAGGCAGAAACATGCACGAACTCTTCAGTATATGTGAGCAGAGGCAAGGACTTTTCTCCCTTCACTGAGGGAATTCATTGGTGAAGTAAAAGCTGCGTAGGGTGCTCTCTACATTGCTCAGCTCTGGTCGTGTTATGGTTGGGAGATACACTAAGTGGGCATTACCCTGTAGAAACCAAACACTTCACACCCTAAAGAGAAGCTGCTGATGCAAGAGGGTTACACCTGCTCAGGGTTTCCCAAAGTCAGTGAGGCATCTCCTGCCAATGTCATATCCTGTCCCCAGGCCAGAGGCTCAGGCTTAGGGACAGGCAGAGAACAGAGTCCCTGAGGAAAAGGTTGAGACTTTTCATCCATTTCTGTGGAATATAGGGCAGTATGCCCTTATGCTCCCCCAGCATAGGGCTGGGAAGGGTCCCAGGGGACATGTGCATCTGGATTGGGAGTGCTGGCCAAGAGGGGAAACTGGAGCATCTTTCCCTGAACTAGATTTGGATGCGCGTAGCACCTCCTGCGCCCCGGAGGACAGACAGGTGTGTCCCAGCGGAGACCAAGAACAGTCCAAAAGGCTGACTTCCGTTCTATGTGACAAGGATGTGTGCGTGCCATGGGAGTTGCATGGGTGTGCAGTGAGAAAGCAGGGTGGCTGAGCCCTCCCCTGCATGCCACACTAGTGTGTGCTGGAACGGTAGTACCAACTGTCACAGCCGTCTGACTCACACATGAAAAAGACCGTATCTTTTCCCCAAGGCCTCCTCCCAAGGAAACACAGAGAAGATGTGCCACCAAGAGAGACCACACCACCCACCCCATCCTCCCAGAAGAAGAGAGAGCACACCCCTCCTCTCTCCCTGCCTCTGGTGTCCTGGCCCATGCTGAGGAAGGGGAAAGTTAGAACCACCAATGAGATATTAGTTTATATAAAAGGAAAACTTTATGACTGAAAAGTGGCCGGGAAGCTATGCCGCCTACCTAAACTGTTAAGTGGTCTTGTTCCTACCTGTGTGGGTCTGGTCCATTCAATACTAATGGTGGAAAGGAAATAAAACTTTTCTGTGTTTAGATAACTGTGGAGTTGAGACCGTACAGGGAAGCAGCCGCATCTCCGGATATTTGCTTCAGGCTCAGAAATCCAAGCCCCCCAGCAGTTCCTCTGCCTTCTGGCCAAGTCCCTCACAGCTTCCCAGAACCTGTCATCTATGCCAACTCCATGGGGCCTTGGCCAGTCGTGTTGTCTCTCCGAATGTTGAACTCCTCCTCTGTCAGGTGCCTGGTGGCATGTTAGCTCCTGGTGCTGTTAGAAGTCTATGCAAGAGCTAGGGGCTTTGACTTACATGGCAGAATTTACTCACAATATGGGTGAGGGGGTTCTATGGATTGAGGGCGTCCTATGAATACATTTAGTGCCTGTAAAGGTATCAATCCAGCTAAGCCTAGAGTCAGCACAGGTGGCCCTCCACATCCTTCCTTTTTGCATCCATAGACACAACTAACAGCAGATCAAAAACAGTAAACATGCTGTACTATGGTGATATTTTATTTGTATTAAAATGTTACTTGTATGTTAATAAATAAAGTTGCCCGGGGGTCAGAGCTATTAGCAAGCCATAGGAAAGCAGGGCAGTGGTAGCGTACGCTTGTAATTCCAGCACTTGGTAGGCAGAGCTGGGTAAGTCTCTGTGTGTTCAGGGATACAGCCATTATTGGATACACATGCCTTTAATCAATACCAATCATGGAAAACCTGGAGGCCTATACAGACAGGCCGTGAGGAGGCGGTCATGTGGTTGGGTTTACAACCAATGAGAAGGCAGGACAGGAACTCTATATAAAGACTTTAACACAGGGGTAGCTCTGGTTCGGAGAGGTAGGACCACTGCAGGAGGAAGGGTAAGGTTTTAGCTCTTAGCTCTGACCTCTTGGCTTTCTTCTTTGCATTGGTTCTGTGTTTCTTATTTAATAAGAAGATTGGTTACATCTACACTGTACGATTTTGTCATATTTTTCAGAGACAGGACAGTAGATCACCTATGTGTTCTGTCATTCGTCCCTAGACAGTATAGTATGACACCTGTGTGTTACATTCTTTGCAGTGTACGGGAGGTGTGTGTAGGTTATGTCCTGGAACCAATCCCCCACAGACACTGAGGGACACTGTATGTTTAAATCAGAAAGAAGCCATTAGGGGTAGGGAAGGCAGGAGGATTAGTCCCCAAGACATGACTTGTCAGAGAATGAATTTTTGGGAAAATAGGATGAAGATCCTCCTTTGTAGAGAAAATGGCTTGAAGCTTAAAGTGGGAGCCAATAAATGGGAGATGGCCAGGCCTCAGGGTTGTAACTTCCATACGGAATACCAGGCATCCGCAATCTGTCTCCAGCACACCGGGCAGACGGCAGAGGCACCAGTGTGGTGGAGAAGCATCGGAACTGGAGAGAGATGCTGACGTCTAGTGAGTGTCTCTGAGAAGATGGCAGAGGAGGGAACTTTTAATCCAGGACAAGCTGGCTCCCATAGTTTGTTTATGGCTGACACGGCCCCTCAGTGGGTTTCCAGGACGTATTGTGGGTATATATGTCCCCTCCCTGTGGTGATCTTCGTCAGATCCACTGGGGTTCCTAGGGACACACACAGGGCTTGCTAAGTGAGTTCAGACCATATCCTGTTATTCAGTTTCACAGTGTTTGGGTTTGGGGATTTTTGTTTGTTTTTTGTGGAGGGATACTAGTTTTTGACAGTTTTCCTCCATAGCTCAGCAAACCTTCTGCCTCGGCCTCCAGAGTACTAGGATTACATTCCCTATCACAGTGTGTTTTGCGGTGACAACATTCACGAAAAGAACTCTGAAAAACTTGGGCCACAAGCGCCACAGGTTGTATGGAAGTTTCTGCTGCAGCACCTGGGAGGGCTGGTGGTTGGTTGAGCGTTGGATTCTGAGCACACATTACCGTTTTAGATGCCTGCTAGTACGGTGGAGAGCCCAGTTAAGACGCTGGTTCGTTGCACCCGTAAATGGCTGCTGAGCTGCCCTGGCCCCAACCCTCCCTCTCAGCAGGGGCTCTTCCAGTACACCCTCTTCCTCAGGGGGCCTGGGTACCTGTGGTTTTTCAGCCACAGAGTTCTGCCCTAGAGATCCCTGGAGGCACAAGTACTGCTTACTATTAGTTCTTGACCATTGAAGATAAGAAAATCCAGATGTTAACTGATTTTAAAGATGCCTTCCCCCTCTGTCTTGAATTCAATGAAATAATTATTTTCTGAAAATAATGCTATGAAGAGGGAAGATGCTGCTTTTCTTCATGGCAAAAGTAAAAATAGTTTGCTTTTATCTGAGGCGTGAATTTATTGGTAATTTCCCTTGACATAGCACTAATGCATAAATGGTCTAGCCTCTCACCCCACCCCACTCCCAGCCAACGCAAAATACTTTTAATCAAAAAGAATGACTTGGAAGTCAGTTGTTAAACCTTGAGTACCCTAAACATTCTTTTAATTTTTTTTTTCCTTAAGAAATGTGATTCTTGTATTCTGCTGTCTCCCTCCTCCCCTTCCTGGATAGATGTTGGTAGCTGCCATGTTTTAAATATTGACAAGATAAGATAGTTTTCTGTTTATACCAGCAGTCGTCTGTCTGTGAAATATGGACGAATCAGAACGCTGGATTCCCTTTCTCAGCGATCCATCAGGTTCATAATGTAAGGCTACGAACGGTTCTTTTCTCCTCCTGAACTTGCACTTGTATAGTGTGTCGCAGTGTTGTGTCACCGGCCCGAGCTACTCCGTCCCAGCAATGCGGAAGATTTGTAATGTCTGGTGGCTTCCGAAGTGCTCTGTCGATTATCCTTCATTCTCTGTGCTTCGTGACTGGTTGACGTGTAAACACTGTCCTAAAATGAGAAACATACTTGGTTTGGAAACCCACAGTTAAAACCCGTCCTGTGTGAGTTTTTCGGCTTTCATTCCAGGTGTCTGTCTTAACGTGCTTTTATAGGAAAAAAAGGCAAAGGGTAAAGCAATACATAGAGAAGCGTGTGTATATCAGCGTCATCCTGCCCATTTTGTACTTCGTGTCCACGAGCTAGTCAGCCCTCTGTGTCCGATGGTCCCTAAGGATTTACGCACTTTATTTGTGAGAAGTACTTGACTTGCATGAGATCCCCTGCAACTGATGCAGATGCTGGGGGAGACGAGCCAGGGAGGAAGGGAAGAGCTCTCACAGCTGTACAGTGGTTCTCAGCCTTTTTCCATTTGGCAGTATTGATTCGATCCTTGGAATGCATGTGAAATTGTGACCCGTTTTATTCTGAGCTGCTTAATATTTGAATATTCGTGTTTTACATTTGCATACTTCGGAAAAAATTACTTGGACTGTAAACATTCTGGCATAGACTTTTGAGTTCATATTTTAAAATACAATCGTATTTTCACATCCATTGAAACTTTCCCCATTGGCTAGTCTATTGTCTGAAAGCTTGAGACGTTTGGTTGAGAATCACTGAAAATTCTTGGGGCGGCATGTGAAGGGCTTCCCTGGGGGTGCCACATTAGGCACATCCATGCTTTTGTGCATGGGACTTCTGGTTCTTGAGGACCATGATATCTGCACATTGCCTGGCCTGGTGCTCCGTGACCCTGAGTCCCTCCCAAGTGCACAGTGCTGACATCAGCTTTTAAGTGTTCCGAAGTGACCATCTCTGCTCCTCTTCAATAGCACACATTCAGCAAAAACACAACTGCATGACCACGCACTGTAATGAGCTCTTGGAGAAGTTTTCAAACAACTGCTGCAAGCCCCTGGCCTTCCCACGTATGAATGTTGGGAGGAGACCCTCCCTTACCATCACATCCAAATGTGTGTGTGTGTGTGTGTGTGTGTGTGTGTGTGTGTATGTGTGTGTGTGTGTGTTCAAAAGTGCAGAGCTCTGTGTGGCACTCTGGAAAGCCTTAGTGATTGTGGGAGGTGAATGTAATCGCTTACATGGGGTTGGGTGGCCCTTCTCTGAAGATCATCAGAATTACAGAAAGTGAAACCTCAGAGTGACAATTGTCACCTCAGAGCATGTTAGTTATTCATTGGGTGCTCTGAAGAAGTAGAGAATGGTGTTTGTTAATATTCAGAGCTAAATTTATAAGCAGGTAGGTGGAAGTAGCTCCTAGCAGAAAAGATTTAAAAGCATCTATTAAAAAAATCAATTAAGTCTCAATTTTAAATTTTTTTTTAAAAAAGAATTATACAAGGCTTAGAAAATATCCTACTTCTCTATAAATGTTAGAAAGCCAAGTCATAATCAAAGCTTTTAATTATTTGCTGGTTTCCCTGGGAAAGGGAAATTGTTTAGAAGAAAATTAAAACTATAGAAAATGCTTCCCCACTGCGTTGTCAGAGTACGCAATGGTCATGTTTGCTACTTGGCACAATCTTAGAACTTTCCCTAGATGTCAGTTTGCCCTGCCTTATAAAATACCACAGAAGTCAAAAGCTGCACTTCCGAGTCATTGATCTAATAAAAATCTACCAAGGGGCATCTGTGAGTTTTATATAACTAAGTTCAACCAGTGGTGTTATATTTTTCAGCTAGTGGTATAAAATAAAGTTTAATTTAATTGCATTATTTTATATATGGCCTAATTACAAGTCCTTCAAACTCATCCAGAGTATGAATTAATGCTTGGTGGCTGATGGATACCTGTTGGAGAGAACCTGTTCCATTTAAAACTCTTAATATCAAAATATATTTTTCCATAATGTTAGAAGGTTGAATTTTTAGTTTACAGTGCTAATTAATGATGTATGTTTTGTCCTGTTTAATGAATGTCCTCCATTATATTTATTTAAAAATAAAATATAAAAAGCCTTAATATATATATATAACATATAGCAAATAACAATAAATGAAGTTTTAAGCCATGACCAAATTCTTAGCATATTAAGGTCCCTAACCTAAAGAGCTTTCTGTAAGTATTCTAAGTGCTAAAGAAAGAGCCTGAAGACAATTATTAAAAGTTATTTGACTCAATTTATCTTCTGTAATTACTTGAGGAAGTCCTCTAAAGATCACTGTGTCAGTAACAGTTTTAAGTATGACCAACATCTCCACCAAACTTTTCCTAGTCCATTGTTGCTCTAATTAACTATTATTGCATCATTGTTCCCAAGGTTAGGCTGTTTCTCATTAAAGAAGAGCTTTTATGACAGCCATTATTTGAGGCAAAAGACTTCTCTTAGGTCTGTTTGATTTTTATTAATTTTTAATAAGAACTTTAAACTGGAAAATTATTGGATTTAATTTAAAACACTTGCCTGAAGAAATACAGGTATTGTATGTATGTATGAATGTATAGCTTGTTCTTCAAGAGCTAACCCAAGGCTTCCTGGTTGAAATTATTTCATATAATTTCAAAATTATGATGGCAAAAGTCATTTATTTTTCAATCCTCTCTGCTACTACATATAGTAACTATGCAGGTCAGCGCCTCTAAGGCTCATTCCTGCTTTAATTCTACCTCAGGGAGGGCTGAGACCTAAGACACTCTCATTCTCTGAACTCTTTTGTCTTTTCCTGGCAGTCAACTAGCATAGCTGAATCCCAGCTCAAGGTCAAGGTCATTCCCATCTTTCACGAGAGTATGATACTAAGCCCATTTGGAGTCCTTCCATTCACATTGACTCTAAAAAGAGCACTGAACATCAACATTTTGATTCATCTAAATAGTCATAGATTAGAGGTTTTTTTGTTTTGTTGTTTTGTTTTAAGAAAGACGAAGTTGAATTTCAAGGAAGAAAAAATTATTTTCTTGTAAATCCAATCCGAAGAACGCTTTTCTTTCTGAAAATGCGTTTCTGGAATTAGCACAAAGCATGACAAAACTCAGCAGAGTCTGTTTCCAGAAAGGTCAATTCAATCCCTGTGGGGAATTTTTAAATATTTAAACATTTAAGCAACATTTCAAGACTACAAGGAAAATAAAGTAAGGATTATATTTCCCTCCCCTATAATTATCTTCCCTCATAGCTTCTAGGGGAGGTCCTATCAGATCACTCTGGATTCCAAAGCAGGTGGTTTGTGACTTTTGGAGCAAATGGAGGCATAGGAGAGCAGTTGATGGCGCTGTCTAAACAGTTAAGTGGATGTGCCACTCATGTCTTCAAATGGTTATTAAATAAGTGATCTTGATGATTACCAACAGAGAAGTGTGTGCTTCGGTTTGTCATGCCCAAAATGGCTGTTCCAACTTCTATGAATGATGTAAACATTTGGATTAGCACTTGGCTTGCAGCTCCGCTTTAAGTCTGTACAGTTTAGTCATGAAGGCGCGTGGCCCAACTGACGGGGAGAGAATGGATCTGCACATGGGTTTGCATGCCGAATGCACTAACTTGTGGAACGTCCCCACTTCCCTGCTTTACTGCAACCACTCCTGCCCAGCTCTCTTCCCGAACCTTCCCCTGCAGCCCTCAGTAACCCCCCAGCTCCTGCCTGTTCAGCTCTGCCAAGTTATACCTCCGCTAACTACAGTAGGGTTCCTGGGGAAGATCTGTTGCTTGGCTGACTGTCACGTCAGCAGACACCCGGTTCCAAGGGTCTTTGGATGTCACCCAAATCTTCCTCTTGTATCATTCCACGGAGTGGCGTGCAAACTTGTGTTGTGCTGTTGACGACGTCACTTGTGACTTACGTGTACAATACCTGTTTCCTGTGCTGCTGTTGCTTTCTCAGGGGAGGCCGGGAGGGAGAGAAGTTTAACAGGATAAGTGAGGGTTGTTTGCTAGACTTGGGGAGACCTTTTGAGAGTTCATGGCTGCAGTGTTTTCAGAGTTATAAAGGTTCTTAGACTCAGCTTTAGAGCAGGAGTGAATCTCACAGAGCCTTCATGTTGCTCTCTATATGGGTTTTTAAGGGCGGTACATAACCAGCTTTATAAAGAAAGACTAAAGAAGTAATAAAAAAGCCAGACATTTGAGAAATAAGGAAAAGAAAATGTCAAAATATAAAATCAGAGAAGAGCTTAATCCTGAAATTAACTGCAATCAGTCATAACTTTTACAAATAACTCGTATAAAGAGAAAATTCCATAATGAGCCAGGGATAGGCCATAAAGTTAAAAAAAAAGTGTTGATGTTACCGTGACAGGTTTTAAATGTCATTTATATATTTTAAATGAGACGTGTTAAAATATCAGACACTAGGTGGATCAGTCGACATACAAACAAGCCCACACCTGAACAAAACAAACAGACGATGGCTGAGAACAGGCAGGGCATAAGGAGTTCTCATTAGACACCTGCTCCCAGGAGAGGCCAAGGGGTGGGCATGCTGTTAACAAGGCCCACCTGTGATGCCAGGCGATCCACGTACAGAAGAAATGCTCCAGGCACACTGTTAGGAAAAGGCCTCTACAGGACTCAGAATTTTCCTTCCTGCTTTTCAAAGCCAGCTAGAAATTTCCAGAAGGCAGGGCCCTTGCCTTGAGCTTTCTATCTTCGGCAGCTGCCTCTGTCCCGCCTAACAGAATTCTAAAATGCACAGAGAGCATGGCTCTCACAGTTCTGAGCCTTTCCTGGAGGCCCGGGCTTCTTTGCTTTTGGGATTACCACAGCCTTTCAAGGGCTCTAGGGAAAGTTATGCACTTCCTTTTTCTCCCAAAATGTGTGCCTGAGGGTACATGGACTCCATGAAAATCCTCCCCAGAAATCCCACCGTGTGTCAGCCCTTTTGCTAGTACTCAGTGGAACTTGGTCCCCAGCAAAGATTTATTTGGTTTGGGAGCTCATAAGGCCTTGTTATATGCTTCCAATACCTAAGGAAAATAATTTCTCATAATTCTGTAAGGCCAACCAAGTTTGGGTGAGGAGACAGGAGCTTGGGGGACGCTTAGTCTAGTTTTAGTTGCGTCCATTTGAGAACAAAGAACTGAATTTCGAGAAGCCAGAAAGCTTAGCATGGAAAAGACTAAAACGTCCCCCACCTGTGACACGTCAGTCAGATTAGAGCCAAGAGAAGACCTGCCAAGATAGAGTTTTGACTCTAAAAATGTTCGTTCATATTAAACAAATGAGATGATGGAATGGCCTGTCTTAGGCCGGGCTTAGTGGACATGTGTCTAATAGGACATCCCATCATATGTGACATGCTTCTGGATGGGGAGTCTCACGTACATGCCAATGTTCATACAAGCACGCCACAGTGTGGACTACTGTAGTTCTGCAGAAGGCGGCTGAGGACATCCAAGGCCATCAGAGAAACACTGCATCTTTGCAGTGGAGTGCCGGTGAGGGAAATTAGCTGTCACCCATTAGGGATTTTTTATTTTAGCATTTTGTGTAGTATCTTACCTGTAAAACCTTCTCCAAGGATATAAAATTTTTCGTAGTACATGATAATGTCATAGTTGGGAACTGAAATGAATGAAACTATATATTCTAAAATAAAAGGAATTCTAACTGAAATTTTCAGTCATTATTTTTTAAATTCAGACCTACTTTTCTGTTGTAACAGAATATTATGAATTGGTAAATTACTTACTAATATTTTCATGTTTTATTTTTAAAATTAATTAGCCTAAGTTTTCATTCTGAAGATAGAATAATTTTGACCTCTCTATTCTCAGCTTTAGGAAAATACAATGCTAACTAATTCATATAGGAACAAAATAATAAATATTTATGTGCACATAACACACCCAAATGCGTTGTACATTTATAGCTCAGATGTGTTAGGTAACCCTAACTAGGTAGACTAGCTAGAGAGAATGAACCTGCTTGCTGCTTATACTGCCTCTAAAATAAATGTCATTTCCAGACAGGGGACTGGGGAGAACCTTCTATCACCTTGCGACCTCCAAACGAAGCCACAGCCTCAACTCCAGTTCAGTACTGGCAGCATCATCCGGAAAAGCTCATCTTCCAGTCCTGTGACTACAAAGCTTTTGTAAGTGACCCCAGACTCAGTATTTGGGCACCGATGGGGATAGAGGCTGCGTTTCCTGGTGAGTTGGCATTCGTTGAAAATGTAGCAAAGTGTCCATCACAGACGTTTCTGAAGGGTTTCTTTTCCCTTTCCTTTTCCTGAAAATGTCCGGATAATGCGGGCTTTTGAACCCTTTAAATCCGGTTAGCATAAGTTTTGCTCTGTGCCTTCGTATAAAGTTATGTATTTCAAAAACCACGTGGCCGGGTGGTGGTGGCGCACGCCTTTAATCCCAGCACTTAGGAGGCAGAACAAGGCAGATCTCTGTGAGTTCGAGGCCAGCCTGGTCTACAGAGTGAGATCCAGGACAGCCAGGGCTACACAGAGAAACCCTGTCTCAGGAAAAAAAAAAAAAAAAAAACGTGATAAAGCACAATTTTAAATAGAATGTTTGCCTAGTATTCGGGGGTCCCTGGGTTTCTTCCAGATATCCATAAATAAAAAGTAAAATCAAAGGAAGCCAGTGTCCTCAGAAGGTCAGGTCTGCCACTTTATATAAATGCAAGATTCTTTCCTTGTCATTAACAATGGATTGCCGTACGGGGCTTTTTTTTTGTTGATTTGTTTTATTAGTTGGTTGGTTGGTGTTTTGGTGTTTTGTTTTGTTTTGTTTTTGTTTCCTTTCCTTTTTATGGAGTGAAAGGAACACTTGTGCCAAGATGTGTGAACAGTGAATGTTCAGCAAGTCCTGTAGGCTTTGGAACAGGAGATGGTTGGCATGACTTCAGAAGGGGGAAAAGAAAAAGATGGCTGAACCTTGAGACTGACTCTCTTTAAAAAAGAAATGTTTCAATTAGGGCAAACTTTCCTAAAAGTGGAAGAGCTAAGAATTTGGCTGAGATCATCTTTCTTAATGATGAAGACACATTCTGGTAATGTCCTCCCAGTCTGGGTGTATTTCACTGGGCTGTCTTCTTCTCCTGTGGCTTGTGGCTTCTCCCAAAGCTCAAGCTTGACATCTGTGAGGCTTTCTGAACAAGGCCCTGTGTGTAGGCTCTAGACTGAGCCTTGGCCACCTTGCCTTGCGCATTCTCAGTGAGCCTGTACTCTCCTGGTCCTCAGGACTGACTGAGATGCCTCCATGTGAGCAGGACACTGTCTGATAACCTCTTCTACAATCCTTATTTTGGTTCAGACTTTAAAATACATGTAAAACTATTTGGAAGGTATCGAAGAGAGGTAAAACAAAAGAACCAGCTGAAGTTCCACGAAGTTGATAAGTGAACTGACTTTATTTTCAGTGTGGGGGCTGGGGACGCACAGACAGCAAAGACATTTTGTTTAAATTGATTTGCCCCACCGGAAGCAAGAGACTGAGTGGGGCTGTGTAGCAGGAATCCATGATTCAATCGCAGAGCAGCAACGTGGCATATCATTCTGGGGAGGTTCTCCTTCACTCACATCCAGCTCCTCGTGTGTCACTCTGCACCAGGGAATCAGCTCTGTCCCTATAAAATGAGAATGACGTGCATTCTCAGGTGGAGGAAGCACCGGGCACACAGCTGTGAATAAAAAAAAAAAAAGTCCAAAACTGCATCCCAGCCTCATAACAGCCCCGTTTTAATTACCTATGCTGCAGAATAAGCCCAAACGGGGCCATGTTGCCTCGCTCCTCAGCTGTCGCATGCAACCCTGCAATTACCCTGATAGTAGTGTGATTTATTTTTTGCAGATATTGCTGCCTCCAGAAAAAAAATGGGAAAGCATTTTTAGATACCCCCATTTTGCAGTTAAAGACAATCTGAAAGCTGACCCCTTTAGAACGTGCCGTAACATTTATAAAGATGGATTCATGGCTCTCAGAAATCACGGCTGACTCTGCCGTGTTCTGTCCATCCGTTCAGGACCAGTTACTGCTAGTTGTTTTAAAGTTATCAACGACTTACAGCCAAGAAGCCTCGCCAGTAGCCTTCCCACAATTTGTTTCCAAATCATTACTCATATTTATACTCTCATTTTAATATGTCGTTCCAATTATTGTGTGTGTGTTTTAGTATTTAGGTTCTATGCTGATCAAAGAGCTTAGAGGGACAGAGTCAACACAAGATGCCTGCGCAAAGATGCGGGTGAGTGTTGCCAAACTGTTTTATCTTGGTAGCTGGAGTACTAAGCGCCGGGTGTCCATGCAGATTACCACCTTTCGGATTACTTTTTTCTTTATCAGTTTGTCTGTTGATCACGTTGGTGTTATGTAAAAAGGTGTTTGGGCTTTGTTGATGTTTAGACTTGGGCTTATCTGGCTGTAGTTTATGATAATGTCTCTGCTATATTTAGACCATATTACATTTGCTTCTGATTATTTTTAAAGAATGAAAGTTAACTGTACAAACACTGATCATCCTCCAGATTGGGGGGGGGGGGTAACCTTTAGTCTATTTCGAGAAAATGATTTTAAGCACCAATTAGACAGTCTGAGAATGCTCACTGGAAAGCCTGCTAATGCACCAAAACCCATCAAAACCAGAGGTACCAGGAGCATGTTATGTAAAGCTAACTTTGTGTGGACTCTTCTTAATTGTTCTTGGTTTTATTTAACTGCAAGAAGAACATTTGAATCTGAGTAGAGTGGAACATTTAAGGGCAGTGAATATTGGCAGAAATGCAATTATGAATGTCCATAATCAGTGGCCGCTAGAACCATGAATTTTAAGCAAAGTACATTTCGCTTTTTCTTCCCATTCTTGCTTCCTCCAGAGCTGACATGTGGATAATATGGAAAGATCTGACACTAAAACATTAAGACTGTTGGACCTATTTAGAATGGCAAATAGTCAGAATCAAATCAAATCGCAGATCCTTAGAAAAAGGGCCCTAGCTTTTATTTGTGGCCAGCATTTCATCATTAGTTTCATATGAGTGAGTAGTCTGGAGCTTAAATAATGAAAAACATGTAATTGAGCTAAAGCAATTTTAAAGACAGATTCGAAGTGTTTAGTGTTAATTGGAACCAAATACATGTGAATCTGCATAAAAATAAGACCTTGGTACACAATCACTAATTTAATATCTTGATCAAACAGGGAGCAAAATGATTAAAATAGTAGTCTAACCCTTGATGTGGTGCTAACACATTCTGATCCTGGATAATCTGTCACTGCTTTCTTGCCTCCGAGTCCTTTTATTCTTGATACAATGTTTTCATCCTCAGAGAATTACATCAGATTGAGTGACCTTGAGGGGGTTCCTGGTTTTATAATTCTGGGAATCTTGTGTTCTGAATAGAATATATCTGACCTAAATTTGTCACCACTAAACAATGTGAAAAAGAGAAAAGTTTTCAATCATCAAGCCTCAGTGATTTCAGAGATTTTCAGGAGCCTATCTAAGAAGTGAATTCGGTGTCTTTCAAATTATACTATTAACTAAATTACCTGAGTCCAGCCACTACAGGGTTCTAGTCAACATAACCAGTGCATTGTGCATGGAGCATCATTAAAATACACCAGACTTGTGATGTGAGATTCTCAGAATTGAATGGATCTGAAATTACATCCTGATAGCAATAGCAAAACCATTTTAATAGTCTCAATAGAGAATAATTGAGTTAAATATTTGTCTGTGGCCTAAAATGAAACTTAGAAAAAACTGCCCATTTAAAAACCATTCCTCTGTTCTTTGGGTCATCTTTCTGGTTTGCTTCCTGTTTATTTTAGGTAGTTTACATGAAAATTGAAACTTCATTGCTTCTTAGAATATCATAAGATCTCATTTGCTATCTTGATTAAATACATTTCAGGTCTTGATATGGTAACGCAATTTGCATTCACTGAGGCCCTTCAAAGGCAGAAGGGAAGACCTGAGCAGTTGTCTAAGACTGTTGCATTGTGAATTAGAAATTTCACCAACTAAAAATGTTGTGCATCTCAAGTCCCAATATAATCAAGTTCTTGCCAGCTATCATATTTTAGGACACAAATATCTTAGAAGTCAATGTACAGTAATAGTATTAGGCTAAAGCACTGCAGATCAAAACTTAACCCAGTTTAATCTTTTTAATTGAGAAAAAGAAGTTTCCTGCTCTATAGTATGTGCTTTAGCTGAAATGAAAACTTCTCAGTGAGAATCAAATCAGATTTCGAGAAGTGTTTTCTTAAGTGTCATTTGCTAACAGAGATGGCTAAGATGGGGCTCCTACCTTCACTGCATTGACAGTTCCCTGGAGGGGACCAATGTGTGAGCATGTGATTCTCCTGGACTGGTAGATGCATCACCTAAGATGTGTCTTCACACTGCCACCAGCTGAAGGCATCCTGATGAATGATCCTGAAAATAAAGCTGTGGTTTCCTGAAGTCAGTTCATTAGGGCTAAGTACAGTTTGCACTTGGGTGCCTAGCCCAAGAGAATTGCATAGTGTTTCAATTAGTCCATGAGGTGGGCACTGCCCTTATCCAAGATGCTTGGCTCCAGAAGTAATTTGAATTACAATTCTTCTCAGATTATTTACATATACATAATGAGATTTTTGTTTCACATACACCTTGTATACAAAGTCCAAAGATAACTTTATGCAGTATTTTATAGTGTACCATCATTTTGATTGTAACCTATTGCACAAAGAATTCTCCGTGGGTGCCATTGTGTTGACATTCAGAAAGTATCAGGGTTTTGAGTACCTTGGGTTTCATACTTTCAGATTAGGGATGTTCAACCTGTATCACCATTGTCTTCACTTTACATATTAGAACACAAAAGCCAATGAAAGTTTAATAACCTGCCCTGACAATCTCCAGGATCAAGCACATCGCAGATTTGCATAGGTTATATTGTGTCTTGAATTTTATAACAGCTAGAAAGGTGGGCTGCTTATGTACCTAAGAAATAGCCTCAGAAACCGTAAGTAATCCATGATGTTAGCATTGGCCAGATTAAACCATCTGGGTGCAGATATATCTAGTAACATGGGACATACTCCAATGCATTAACATAAACTAAACTTTCAGCAATGTTCCTATTGCTAAGTTGGTTTTCTCCCACACGCATACTTTACAATATTCATTCTTGTTCGGGCAGAATCTGAACAGTTTCCCCTTCTCAGAGGCATGGGGAGTATTTGATATTTACAACTGGATAATTTCCATGTCTGTGTAAACCCATCCATCTATCTCTAAGGCCCCCTCAAGTTCTGAAAATAGAAAAAAATTTCATTTCTTTCCTGGTATTTTATTGTGTGTATTATTTCAGTTAAAAAACTGCCATAATAAACTAATATGTTAGAGGGTAGTTTAATTCACATTATTACACAGTATGGAATAATTTCCTTGTTTGCTCAGGTGAAACTGTCTTTTTTTTTCCTCTTCCAAACAGTCTTAAGATGTTTTTAATTAATAGAGTTGATTTTTAATAGACTATTTTTTTAAGCACACTTAGCTTGACAGAAAAATTTTAAGAAAGGAGCAAATGCTTTTGTATACTTCCTAACTGCCTTAGTTAGGGTTACTACTGCTGTGATGAGACACCATGACCAAAAGCAAGTTGGGGAGGAAAGGGTTTACTTGGCTTACACTTCAGCATTGCTGTTCATCACTAAGGAAGTCAGGACAGAAACTCAAACAGGGCAGCAACCTGGAGGCAGGAGCTGATGCAGAGCTTATGGAGGGGTGCTGCTTACTGGCTTGCTCATCATGACTTGTTCACCCTGCCTTCTTATAAAATCCAGGACCACCTGCCCAAGATTGGCACTACCCACAATGGGCTGGGCCCTCCCCCATCATTCACTAATTAAGAAAATGCCTTATGGCCAGATGTTATGGAGGCATTTTCTCAATTGAGGTTCCCTCCTTTTCAATAACTCTAGCTTGTGTCAAGTTGACATAAAACTATCGAGCACAACTGACCCCTTGTCAACTTGACACACAAACACATTGTTAAGTCATAACCTTTACTTTCTTGTTCTTCCCCAAGATTACGTATTAATATCAACATTATAATATAAACATTCCAAATTTTAAAAGTCACACACTCTTTAAAAATTCTAACACTCAAAAATTCAGTTTCTTTAAAATCCAAAGTCTTAAAATTTAGTCTCTCAACCTTGGGCTCCAGTAAAATAAAAAATAAATAAATAAATACTTTCTTAATTCAAGAGGAAAGAGCCAGGGCACAGTTCCAGTCTGAACAAAGCAAATCCAAACTCCAAAAATATAAATAACTCAATGTCCAATTATCTAGGATTCACTCATGATCTTCTGAACTTCCAAAGGGTTTGGGTCACTTCTCTGGCTCTGTTCTCTATCACATACACAGTTTCTCTTCCAAACTCAGGCTGGCTCCACTCCACTGCTGATGCTGTTCTTGGTGGTCATCCCACGGTACTGACATCTCAAAAATGATGGGGTCTTCTGTTACAGACGGCTGCACTTTCGCCGGTAGCCTCTCCTGGGCTCTCCTCAGGGCTCCAACCCTGCCCCCTCAGCTCCTCTCCATGACCCCTTCTTGCCTTCAAAACCAACACCACCTGGGTCACTCTTAGATTACCAAGTTCAACTGCCAGCACAAAATACAACCTTGGCCGCCTCTGGAACACAGCTTCTCTGTGCTCTCGGGAAACACTTGCCAGCTTTCACCTCAATGATGCCAGTCTCTTCTTAATCACAGCCCATTCTTCAGCCCCAGTTGACAAAAACCACAGATTCTTCACACAAAAGGCCCCGTAGAGTCTTTGCTTCCTTCTGAAACTTCATAAGCCAGAGGTTTCCATCTCTGAGCAGCTCGCAACATTGTTACCTTCTGAGTTCCTACATAACGTCCCAGTGAGCTCTCAATGTTCAAAGTCTCTTCTAGCCCAAAGTGTGAAAGTCCTTCCACAATCCTCCCTACAACAATGTGGTCAGGTCTGTCACAGCATTACTGGTACCCACTATCCTGGCACCAACTTGTCTTAATTAGGATTACTATTTCTATCATGATACATTACGACCAACATGATGGGGGGACCCACAGAGACAGCTGACCTGAGCTGGTGGGAGCCCATGGACTCTGGACCAGTAGCCAGGGAGCCTGCATGGGACCAACCTAGGCACTCTGCATGTAGGTGACAGTCATGTAGCTTGGTCTGTTTGTGGGGCTCCTGGCAGTGGGACAGACCAGGATCCCTGGACAGGACAGGACCTGTCCCTGGCACTTGAGCTGGCCTTTAGGAACCTCTTCCCTATGTTGGATTGCCTCACCCAGGCTTGATGCAGGGGGAGGAGCTTGGTCCTGCCTCAGCTTGATGTGCCATGCTTCGTTGACACCCACAAGAGACCTGCCCCTTTCCGAAGGGAGACAGAGGAGGAGCGGATGGGGGGGATAGAGGAGAGTGGGGAGGGGGAACAAGAGGAGAGGAGGGAGAGGAAACATTGAGAGGAAACAATGAATGAAAAATTATTAATAAAAAATTAAATATCATGACCAAAAGCAAGTTGGGGAGGGAAGGGTTGATTTGGCTTACATGTTCTATATTGTAGTCCATCAGTGGGGGCAATCAGGACAGGAACTCAAGCTGGGCAGGAACCTGGAGGCAGGAGCTGTTGCAAAGGCCATGGAGGGGTGTTGCTTACTGACTTGCTCCCCATAGCTTTGCTAACCTGCTTTCTTATAAAATCCAGGACCACCAGCCCAGGGATGGCCCCACCCACCATGGGCTGGGCCCTCCCCCATCAATCACTAAGAAAATGTGTTATGACCAGATCTTATGGAGGCATTTTCTCAACTGAGGCTCCCTCCTTTCAGACAACTCTAGCTTGTGTCAAGTTGACATAAAACCAGCCAGCACACTAACCAACATGTGTGCATCCTCCATTATCAACACGTAAGTGGCATTGTAAATACCTGGGTCCATAGTTTACAGTAGGCCTCACTCTTGCTGCTAAACTTCCTGTAAATCCAGACAAACTGACAATGACCTGTGTCTACCATTACCTTTCAGAGTAGTTTCTCTACTCTGAAGTTATTTCTTTAGAGCTGTTTTAGATTTGCAGAAAAACGGTGCATAAATTACTGCACTTACATACACTCCCTCTACAGCTACTGAATTTACAGCTTCCCCTTTTATGAAATTTCTGTGTTAGTGTGGCATACTTGTCCCAATTAGGGCCAGTATTGGTGTTCAGTATTAACTAAAGAAGTTTGCAGTATATATTGGAACTCATCCTTCCTGTTAACAGAGTTCTAGGGCTCTACAAATACATCATGACATATCTACCATTTCTTCTTGGTTGCTCCCATGTTTTGGAAATTCTACAGATGCTGTAATATACACACCCCACCTGTACCCAGGTATTTATTCCAAGATATTTTCCCCCTGGATGCAAACTCTAAATAATGTCCCTCTTTCTTCAATGTGTTTGGTGAAAATTCAGTAGAATCTGACATTGAACCCTGATGATTCATTACTGGGCAACATTGCCATTTCTGCCTTGTCTTTTGAGGTTGTGTTTAATAAAAGCCGGAGAAGCTTTGGCACTGAGGCATAGGGATGGTGTTGCTCCTTCGTAGTAGCCAAGCTGCTCATTTCCTGTACACCGACAGTTCTGCAGACGTACTACTGACATGTGGAGAGTCAGAAAAGATTTCTCTTTAATCTTAACAGTCATTCAGTGCTGCCTTTTTATGTGAGTGGTCTGATTCTCTAGCTGAATCCATGCTCTATGACACAGGCATCATTTCCTAGTCAGCCCCTGGGGGAAATACTAGTTCTAGGGTGCTAAATATGATGCCCTTTCTGCAACGTTCTCCGTAGCAGAGAGACTTCTTTCTGTCTTCCTCACAAGGCGCTGTATGAATGTCTGGGGGCTCATGCTTCCCCTCCCCTCCTGAAAGCAGGGACAGTATACAGTGCCTGTCTCTGTGGTACCTGCTTTGTTGTGATGGTTGGATACAACCATGCATGCCAAGTGCCTGCTCCCATTCCCTCTCAAAACATGCTGGCTTCTTCCTCCAAATGTTTGAAAAAAAAAAGAGTAAATTCATGGGCAGATTTACTTGAGATTCTTTCATTTCATTTCATTTCATTTCTTTCTTTTTTTTCCCCCCAACTCTGAAGCCAGTACCCCTCTCACTGTTCTGTGTCCATCGTACGTAAGAGTGTATTCTACACTTCAGGAATCCTACACTTTCATTTCCACCCTATAAAGTCCATTTCCAAGATGGAGAAAACAGGTGAGAAAGGAAGCTTCTTACGAGTTGATGGGTGCAACGCTGCAGTTTCATATGTGCTCCATCTGTCCCTGAATCAGTCAGAAGTGGCTCTTTCCAGACACTGTCTGTGGGACTGAATTTTTTACAAAGCTATAAGGATATTAGTTGACCATTCTATGATGTATATGAGTTTGTTTTGTGTTAAGTGTTTCCCACTCTGAAGATTCCACAACCTACAGTGTTCAGCAAGCTAGGCCTTAGTTCTGGCCATGCGAAGTTCTGTTTAATTTTTTCCTCTCTGGTCTTCTCCACACCCTGCCTCCACCCCTGCATTTCGCTCTAGAGTTCAATCATTGCTAACACACTGAGTACCATCACTTCCCTAATTAGATTAATTATGCCATTAGAAAACATAGGCCATCATATTCAACGCAATGCTCTCAGCAATCCTACTTTCTCCAGGCCCACGGTTGGCAATTAGCATTACTCACGGGTGTTTGAGGTCCTGGAAATTGCTCTTAAAAGGGAAAAAAGGAGGCTAGGCTAGGGCATAGGCTCAGGTGGTAAAGCACTTGCTGTGAAAGCATGGGGCCTTTAGTTAAGGAATGCTCACCACCACCCAGGTAAAATGTCGGCTGAAGCCGCACAAGCCTAGAACTCCAGCTCCAGGAGGTAGAGACAGAAGGATCCACGGAGCTCAGCCAGTCTGGTGGGATCGGTGGGTTCCAGGTTCAGTGAAAGACCCTGTCTCAAAGCATAAGGTGGAGAGTAATTGAGGAAGACACCAACATTAACTTCTGTTCTCAACATGCACACGAGTACACCACGCATACACGCTCGCTCACACGCGCGCGCGCATGCGCGCGCACACACACGTGCGCACACACCCACATACATGGAGAGAGAGAGAGGAGTGGGGCACAGAGAGGGAGAGACACACACAGGGGAGGAGCAGGAAGGAAATGGCTGCTTTTTAATGAGACTAAGAGAGAACAGAGGCATATTTTAAGTTCTTTTAAAGTCGAGACTAGGCAGGACCTTGGAGCATATTAAGATTTTGGAGCCCTTAGTTCCCAAAGCCTTTGTACTCTCGCCATAGGTCTCATGGCATCTCTTCTCCTTAGTCTGTGTAACTTTTAAACTTTCAAGCTGGAAGCAGCTCTACAGGGTGACTTTTTAAATAGTAGATTTCTGGGTAACAGGCAATGCTTTGGTCTAAGCAGGACGGCGGTCTTTGCTCTTCCCTGTGCTTTCAAAGAAAGTCAGTGGAAGGAAGCTGAAAGGTTTTGTTTTTTTGTTTGTCTGTTTTTTTTTTTTAAAGTTAGAATGCCTCCTTCCTTAAAAAGGACTCAGTCTAAAGCCATGATTAGATCGTCTGTCTTTGCACAGATTCTTCTGGGAGAAACTGCCATCTGCAGACGTGTTTTTAGAAAGGCTTCTCAGGAACCAGGATGGGGAAACATGTAAAGGACCTTTTTTCAACTTCTGTTGACAAAATTTCCGGGAGGAATCCATTTTTTTTTTCATTTTGTTTTGATTTTTGATGCTGGGCATTGAACCCAGGGCCTCTTAAGTGCTGAGGTTTGCATTTTATATGGTCACCTTCAGATAGAATCCTGGAATCAGGTCCCCACCTTCCTCCGGGACCCACTGGACTCTGTGGGGAGGATGGAATCCAATGCTTCTCACATACTGACCACCACCAATGAGCTACTTCCCAGTGCACAGAAAGATGGCAGTGCCTTTTTTCCCCCATAATCCCCACTTATCTTAAAATCTCTCTCTAAATATGTTTATTTAAGTGAACATCATTGGCCACATAGGTCAACACCTGCACTGGGGAGACTGAGCCAGGAGGATCCAAAGTTCAAAGCCATCCTGAGCTGTAGTGCAAGTTCAAGACGCTGTCTCAAATAATAAGTTGTCTTTGACCCAAATGCATAGTTATGTTTACCGGTCGTTGTTTAACATTTTCACTACTGTCAGAACATCACCGTAACAGCCTGGTGTGCTGGGGGAAGGGTACATCCTAAGACCCTCCAAATACCAGCACTGGCTGAAATCCACCTGTGTCAACTACGCACCAAACACTGACTTACCGGGTGTAAACCTCACATCTATACAAAGAGGACTCTGCATTAACCATCTTAGAAATGAAGTAACTGAGCAAAGAGGCTAGCTAGCCACATAGCCAGGGAGAAGTGGAAGGAAGCCAGGAAGCCAAGCATCTCCTCCTATGCCACTTTTTGGGGTTCTGGGCTTGGTTTGGTTGTTATTGTTGAAACATGGTCTTACTGTGTAGTCCAGGCTGGGATCCAACTCACAAATCTCCTACCTTAGTCTTCTGTTGGCTGAGACTACAAGCATGTGCTATTGTACCCGGCTACCTTCCTGTGGTCTTGTTCTCTGTATTGTGAAGCCTCCCAAAAGGATGAACTCATCAGTGGATCATAAAATCCAGATGCACACACACACACACACACACACACACACACACACACACACACACACGCACACGCACACGCACACGCACACGCACACGCACACGCACACGCACACGCACATACACATGTACACTGCTGAAGTTGTATTTACAAGTAATAGATTTAGAGACTCAGCACAGGACTAGGGTGAGAGCTTTGTCACTAATGTGACTACTTTAAAAGCGTGAGAACCTGAGTTTAAATCCCCCACTATGAAAAAAGCCATGTGTGGTGATGCACGCCTATAATTTTGGTGCTAGGAGGCAAAGACAGAATGATCTTGGGGGCTCACCAGCCAGCCAGTCCAGCCAGTCAGTGAGTTCCAGGTTTAGTGAGAGAGCCTGTGAGAAAAAAAAAAGATGGAGTGCAATAGAGTATGACAACTAATGTACACACGTGTGTGTATATACACATATATCATATACAGGAAAACAGAAACAAGGTGGACGAGCATCCGAGGAGAGATAGCCAAGGTTGTCACACGTGTGTAAACACACACACACACACACACACACACACACACACACACACACAGACTCAATCGTCTTGTTAAACTAAAAATCATTTTTTAAAAATTTAACCAAAAAAGTATTTTTTATTGCAAAGTGATATAAAGTCATGGTTCTCTGCTTCCAAAGAGACAGACAGACAGAGAGACAGAGAGAGACAGAAAGAGAGACAGAGAGAGAGAACAGAAGGAAGAAATGAAAACAACTAATTTTACCACCCAGAAGTGGTAAACATCCCCCTGTTAACACCTTGTTCATGTGTGATCCTTCAAACTGATTACTTAGGCACTCCTGGGCATTACTTTTTCACTAAAAACTGGAAATGTTCTGTACCTGTTGTTTTACGGTCTATTTTAAACCACAGTTATATTTGGGGATTTAAAAAAGAAAAGTATTTCAGTAACTCTTCATTCTCAGTATTACTTGTAGTGGTTGATTACAATATTCCACTCCACAGTTGAAACAATTCTTCAGCCGATTCCTCTGGTTATTGTGTCCATTTCTAGTTGTTTTGAAATTATAACCAGGGTTCTTCAAAAGTCCTGATTACGTCCCTAGATCGGCCACTAAATGTGGAGCAGTGGAGCCAAAGGGTATTCCCACCTAGAAACTCTACAGAACCATTGCCAGACTGCCTTCTAAACACCCACTACAAGTTACACACTCACAAGCAGTAAGTGAGCATCCAGCACTGGGTCTCAGCCTCATGGGCTTATTATATTGACATGCCCGCTCCTAGCGGAGAGAACAGGGGACTTCATGAGAAGCTGTGTATCACCAGTATGCCATCTAGTCTCACCAACATCTATTCTGGATGTAACTCTATTATCTTTATGACTCTTACTTTATGTGAAGAATGTTTCCAGCTCTCACAGTCCCTGGGAACCATGAAAGGATTAAATAATCCTTGCTAATTGCTCTCAAGACCAAGAGCCATTGTGAGAAACGCTAATGGCAGAGTTTTGGAAATCACTTGTCAAGTGCTTTGATAAACTGGCTCCTTAGCATGAACGTGGGATGCTTTGCAGCTGAGTTTGCATGCACAGCATCAGAGCGCAGACCTGACAGGGACGTTCGATCAAATTGATCGACTGCGTTTTTTAGAGCAGTTGCTCTTAAAGGGTGGGCCCCAGACTTGCAGCATCAGCAGCATCTGGAAAATTGTTAGAACTGCGAATACACAGGCCCCAGCCCACTTTCCCACGCCTCTGGGTGCGGGCCAGTCATTTACCAAGCCCTTCACAGAATTCAGATACAGTCCATAGGTGGAGAGCCGCTGTCTTGGTTCCCTGGGCATTCCACTGAGGACGCTGTGTAGATCAGCTCTTCTGGGTAGATGCCTGGTGCCATTACGCCTGGAGACTGGCCAGGCCTAGAACAGACTCAGAGGGTATCACTTTGGGCCCGGCTAGATTTTGGCAGGACTTTGTGAGCTCTATAGCCGTTCACCCTCACAGCAAGGAGACGTGTTCGGAACAGTCACTGCTTACTGTTCATGTCGCATAGTCTTGTGTAGGTTCCCAGTCCCCTCGACCTTTGGGCCAGAGTTCTTGAGACCACAAGAGCCCCGTGAAGTTATTTAGACACATTTCTCAGCCAAATGAGACACACTCATTTAGGGACAGTCAAGAACCCAAACTATTTTTAAAGAAATACAGAACAAGAAACTCCCAGGCTGCCACCAATCATCATCCTGCCCTCTAAGAAGCCCTTCCTGCTTCTCTTGGTGCTGCATCGGGAGTTGGGGTACAGTTGATGAAAACCCAGCCCTTCCCTCCCAGAGGCTGAAAACTTACCTACCACGGCAGCTCTCTCCACCCCAAGGGCCTCTTCATAGCCCACATCATGTCTTCCCAGGCTTAGGGTACCATGGCTCTCTCAGTGGCTCCACATCATGTCTTCCCAGGCTTAGGGTACCATGGCTCTCTCAGTGGCTCCACATCATGTCTTCCCAGGCTTAGGGTACCACGGCTCTCAGTGACTCCACACCATGTCTTCCCAGGCTTGGGGTACCATGGCTCTCTCAGTGGCTCCACATCATGTCTTCCCAGGCTTAGGGTACTATGGCTCTCTCATTGGCAGGGCATGAAGGTTCTCTATAGCCCCAGTTTCATGCTGGTGTCACCGTTTGGCGTCAGTAGCCGGGAGAACACCCTATGAAGTGACTGTATTATTTACTTGTGACTTGAAAAAAGACCGACTCTGTAGGGCTAAACATGGCTGTCTACCAATGGTCATAGAGAAGAGTCAAGACATCTGTGGGTGGGTCTCTAGGCTCTAGGGAAGCAGAGCCCTTGAAATTCCAGGCATGAACACGAAGAGAAAGCCTTGTGTCAGCATGGGAGGCCCAAGAAGACTTTCCCCAGAAAGCAATCTTGGCGCTGACTGCCCTGTAAAACTCATTACAGGGTGAGGGTTCATTTTGAATAACTATTCTGAGGGCTGCTTTTTATGCCTTACCCCACCACCTAGCTAGTTTTGCTGCGTAAAAGATCATGATTCTGCCTCCTATAGTTTTTTAATCATTTGAAAGTCACTGAAGGCTACAACGCATTACTCTTCGACCTTATTTAAATTTACTTGAGAAAACTGAATATCATCATTACACTTTTGTAACTAAGGAAAGTGGTAGATGGCAAAATAGTTATGACTCGGGACTGAAAGTCTAATTAGAGAATATTCTCAGAGTAGCCCCGTGAAATCTCTTCCCCAGCCTGTGCTTTGGATAGGCTGTGAGTAACCAGGGGATTGTAAGAAAGAAGGCTGAGGGCTGGGGAGATGGCTTATTGGGTGAAGTGTTTGCCGCCCAAGTGTGAGGACCTGAGCTTGGATCCCCAGCATCCACAGAAAGGCCAAGTGTGGCAGTGCATCTCTGTAACCCCAGCCCTGGAGGGACAGAAACAGACATGTTGTGGAAGCTCACTGGTCAGTGTAGCCCAACCAATGAGCTCTAGGTGTGGTAAGAGACCTGGCTCCAAATAAATAAGAAGAACAGCAGAGTAAGACACTAGGTGCTGGTATTTGGCCTCCACCCTCATACAAATGGGTGAGTGCATCTGCCTGTAACACACACACACACACACACACACACACACACACACACACACACACACACACAAAGAGGAAGGAAGGAAGGAAGGAAGGGAGGAAGACTGACTGGCTGAGGCTAAGGCAGCCTCTGTGAATGGCCTCGCTCTTTTCCCTCTTCCTGTGGCTGCCGAGGCACAAATGATTCTTACTGGGAAGATAAAGCTCACTCTCACCGAGCCTGATGGCTCACAACTGAATTACCCCTAACCCCATCATGAGCCTCTCCGCACTCATGCCCACTCAGGAAAAGCATGTTCTGAGATCAGTGAGTCCATGCGCTCAGAAAGGATGTCCCTGAACTGCTGAGTCTAAATTTTAAAAACAAAAACAAACAAACAAACAAACAACAACAACAACAAAAAACCAGAGACTACTGTTGATCCCAAAGCTCAGGAAGCTGAAAGAGAAGGATTAGGAGTTCAGGGCTAGCCTGAGCCACACAGATGAGACATCGAAAGAGAAAGAGGTGGGGGTGAGGGGCAGCTAGTGGGCAGTCTCCATAGCTACATATTTTGCATTGCATCCACCAACTGTAGAAATATTTGTGATAAGTATTGCACCTGTGCTTATGTGCATTTTACTTCTTGCCATTGTCCCATAAGCAGTACATAAAAACAATGGCATATATTGTTTACATTGTACTAGATATTATAAGATGGTGATGATTTAAAATAATGAGAACTTGTGCAGAGGTTACTGCAATTCATGCTCCATTTTATATAAGAGAATCCTGATTCTGGCATTAGTCTCTCTCAGACCAAGCCCCCACAATGCCGAGGGAAACTGCACTTCCGTTTAGAACAGGCTTTAAGGCTGGAGTAAAAACGCCAGAGATGATTTCCGACCCGGTGCCAAACAGTTCTCAGTTTACATTTAACAACAGAAAGAAAAGTTGGAGTGGTAGCTCATGACTGCCGTGCCAGCGTGTGGGCGATGGATCAGGATAATCAAAAGTTCTAAGCTACCCTCCACTGTAACTGAGGCCAGCTGGGCTAGCTGAGACCCTACACCAAAAAAAGTAAGACAGAGTTGAGGAGGTAGGCCAGTTGGGAAAGCACTTGCCTGGCAAGATTGAATGCCTGGGGTTCTGAGGAAAGAACCCATGCAAAAATGAGAGATGAGGGAGTAGGCTCAGCCGTTAAGGGCACTGGCTGTTCTTGCAGAGGACTTAGATTCAGTTCCCAGCACTTCCACGGAGGCTCGTGATCATTTGTAACTGCAGTCCCGGATATCTGACACCCTCTTCTGGCCTCTGCAGGAATGAGACATGCATGGGGTACACAGACATCATGCAAGGGAAAAAAAATCTATGCATTAAATAAAATAATTCTTACCAAAAAATTGGTGAGCACGCATGAAATCCTTGTGCTGAGAAGAGAGAGGGAGGTAGATCCCTGGAGTTCACTGGCCAGGTAGACTAGACTAGTTTGGGAGTTCCAGGCCAGTGATAGATCCTGTCTGAAGAAGGACAGCTGTGTAGTTAATCTCTGCCTTCTAGATGTGTGTGCACACACAGGAACACACACCCACACAAACAGGAAAGGGAGAAGAACATTATTTCTTTTTCTTGACAAATCTAAAATCCCTTCTTTAAAAAAAAAAAAATCTAAAAGTGTTCAGTTACTAACTTCTTAGGAACAGTGTTCCAGATATGAAATTATGACTCAGCCCTGCTTGGTGAATACAGACTATCTAAACCAAGAACTAAGTGCACTTCAGACATGCAGCATCCCTGTGCAACCAAATACTGTTTCACTTGCAATAATAAAAGAATAATAATCTTAAGTTAGAAAAACATTTGCATTTTCCTGTAGCACTCTTTGCTGGAAACAAGATGGAGTGAAACTCATTTGGAGCCTTACCCATGAATATTCTGCTGCTTGGGTGTTAGGAGGTCCTCATTGCAAATCCGAGTCCCTTGTGTAAGGCTGGCACCAAAGGAGAGAGAATCTGAAGGCCAGGAAACCTCAGAAATTCCACAGAGACCTTAGGACAGAGCAAAGCACCTACAAACCAAAGCTTGCCCTGAGCTCCCTCCTCATGCAGGAATTTTCTTTACACAAATTAATAAGCCTTGCATCTTCCACATGAACATGGGGGCATCGTGACTACAGACAGACAGACACACAGCAAAGCAGGAAGTTAGATCCTAAAACCCAGGTCTCCTGAGCTCAGCCTTTGTTACTCGAGTGGTGAATGGTTAGGTCAAAGTGTCCTGAGCCCTGGGGAGGAGGAGGGACCCATGATGGCATGTTGGACAACAAATCAGGGGAGTCAAGACTTCTATGACTACCCATGATGGAGCAGAAGCTCTGTGCTTCCTTTCCTGTACCCATAAAGCTTTCACGAAATGAACGCTTACTAGATTTCCTGACTCCCTGAAGACTGAATATATTTGCCTTCTTTTTACAAGCGCTCATCTTTCATTAAATTTATGTATAAAACACCTTCTTTTGAAAGATCCGTCAAAGTACACCATCAGAAATTCCCCCTAAAAAGAGGCAGGATTGTTGGCCCTTCTAGAAAAGACAGTTGTCTTGGTGGAGGAACATGATGTTGCAGACCTCCCTTGGTCCCCTTGAGCTTGGTGGCTGGCCAAGTTCAGCATGTTCTTGTCATAGGACCCAGTAGGGAGAGGACTGTCTGGGCTCCATCTTGGAATGTATGGCCACTTCCAACATTGCCACCCTAGAGACCTGTGCCCAGCCTGGATGTTGACACCTCAGTGCTGCCTTTGCCAAGGGGGCAGGAATTGTGGGGCCATTTGTCTTTCCTCTGTTGTGGAGCTTGGATGAGCATCTGAGGGGAAGTCTCAAGGGTGACAGAAATCACCTCTGCGGCCCTCAGGTCAGCCTAAAACCAGTGTCCTCTGCCCAGTGCCCAAGTTCTCCTCAAACTACCACTAACAAAATTGCTAATGGACCTTCCTGTTACTAAAGCCTGGGATTTTACCCCATAAACCCAATAAAAGCAGCAGTCCTCCGTGTGCCAGCTGCTTGCTAGGGACTGCTTTTTGGTGTCTCCTTCATTCTTAGGACATTGGGCACTGCCCCTGCCTTCTCATCAACCAGCTCCTTGACTTCTGTGACGTCGTCTGTGGGCTTCTACCAGCTTCATCCCTAGTTTCTTTGCTAGAGCTTAAAAATTCATCTTCTGCCCAGCATGGTGTTACACGCACTGGGGGGCAGAGGCAGGTGAATCTCTGTGAGTTCCAGGCCAGCCAGGGTGGCCTAGCAAGACCTTTCTCAAAAAAAATAAAAAAAGAATGTGTCTTCCAACCAGATGTGGTAGCACACACCTGTACACTTTAGGACTCAGAAGGCTGAGGAAGAGAATTACCAGGTCAAAGCCAGCCTGGACTATACAGTGAAACCCTGTCCTAAGAAAAGGGGGTGGGATTAATCTTCCCCTGGGGTTCTCACTCCACCCTAAGACACCCCACCTGCTCCTACCTCCTTAGCCACCCCACCGACATCTGCATTTCATCTCTCATTTCTTAGTGGTCAGCATGCCGAAGACGTAAAAGCGTCTCTCCGTGTGTCTTTGCCAAAGGATGCTCCCCTCTGGCATCGCAGTCTCTGCTCAGGGCTGCTTCATCTGTGACACCGTCCCACTCATTCCTTTCCTGTGATGTCACAGAGAGCCTCTTGCTTCTTCGCCCTCAGTTGTGGGGCTCTTCCCCCTGTCATCCCCGCTTCCACCTCAGTCCTGCTGGAGTCTGCCCTTTGGATGTCACAGCGGCTTCCGGTGTCCCTCACTCAGCCTCCAACCTCTGTGCAGCCACCAGTGGATCTGCTCTTGGCAGGGAAAGCCCCGCCTTTCAAATCTATTCTACCCTCCTTTCCTAACCATTAACCTAAACCACCTAGAGTTCTCATTTACAGGTGTATGTGACTTTGTTCTTACAACAGCCCCTTTTCCCTCTTATTGCCCCTCAGACCCCTCCAGAGCCAGATCAGTGCTCCCTAGCTGGTAATCAGTCTTGACGAATGAATGTATTTATTAATACCTGCCTTGCCCTTTCAAGGTGAGCATTTCCCTATATCCACTGTTCCAGAAGTACTCGGTTCACATCGCCGTCGTTGCATGTTGTCAACCCTGTGGCTCTGCTTCTCGTCCAACTCAGCCAAGAATGGGTGCTGCATGAGCCAAGATGTGCTCCTAGGCTGCCATGTCCCTCGGCCCTGGAAGCCATCTTGCCCGGCTCTGTTTCCCACTTAGATTCTCCTCAACACAGCACTAACTTGGGTGGCCAGTTTGAGCAGCGGCATTCACACAAAATTTCACATCCTTGAGATGGACCCTGAGCTTTCCATTGACTAGCACAGTGGGGGGGGGGGGCAAAATAACGACTCAACGACTGAACAAATAACAGACGGGTTTTTCTTAATACTACATAAAAATATTGGTGTTTTTTTCATCTTAATGTAGTTATATATTGTTTCAGGTTACAAATAGGTCTGTCCGGGAGAAAGTACTCATGGCAAGAGATGAGCGAGGTGATTTGCTGAAATCCATTGTTACGCTTTGCAAAGAGTTCTTCACATGAAATTCAGTCAACAGAATGATTGCCTGTGCTGCCCCGGCCTTCCTAATCACAAATTCAGCCACTGCTTTGCCTTCAAACTAGCACACAGCATGTGATTTCTTCTAGCCTTGCCTTTGATTTGTCTCGCACATTTTTCAGAAGTGGTTAGGAAAAACATTCCAAACATGAAAGTATATAATGTTATATTCCATTTTTTTAGAACGACTTTTTTTTTGGCAATTGTAAAAGAAAATTGGCAAGTCTAGTTAATTTTAAAGCTAGTTAAAATTCACTTCAAAAGGGCTTCTCTTTATGTACTATCTGGAACAATAAATTTTAAGTAATACTCTTAGTAAATGTCTTCATCTCTGAAATAGATATGGTAGCTCTCAAAAACACACACACTCACACACACACACACACCTTGTGTCAGGACAGTGAGGAGAATGTCAAAGACCTCTTCTCGGGATTCAACAAAAGGTACAACATAACCATCACCACTGAGTGCAGTGAGCTTCACTCATCCCGTTAAAAGCCTTCTTTAAATCCGGCCACATTTCAGAATTTTTTTTAATGGGATATTGAGTGATATAAATAAATCAGAGACGTTCCTATCCTTTTCCCGAGTCCCCTGATGTAGAGAGTTGGCTGGCTAAGGCTCAAAGTGGACCTTTCCTGCATGCCAGCCCCAAGGTTCTGCAACCCAGTAAACAGAAAGATGAGAAAACAGAGAAAGAGAAACAGGCCTGGCCAGTGAACGGCTCACCGCATCTGCTTCCGTCCAGGAAGGCTGCTCTCTCCTTCTGTGGCG